GTGAGCGCTCACACCGGGATTCGGGATGATAATCACTTTCTATGACACTAAATGTGGCCGATCTCATGAACCAATTGCAGTTGACCGTTTGCAAAGACCCGCCCCCTTTAGTGCAAAGATACGCCCCTTTAGTGCAAAGACCTGCATCCTGTAGTGCAAATACCCGCCCCCTTTAGTGCAAATACCCGCCCCCTTTAGTGCAAAGACCCGCCCCCTTTAGTGAAAAGACCCGCCCCCTTTAGTGCAAAGACCTGCATCCTGTAGTGCAAAGACACGCCCCTTTAGTCCAAAGACCTGCATCCTGTAGTGCAAATACCCGCCCCCTTTAGTGCAAATACCCGCCCCCTTTAGTGCAAATACCCACCCCTTTAGTGCAAAGACCAGCCCCCTTTAGTGCAAAGACCCGCCCCCTTTAGTGCAAAGACCCGACCCCTTTAGTGCAAAGACTCGCATCCTGTAGTGCAAATACCCGCCCCCTTTACTGCAAATACCCGCCCCCTTTAGTGCAAATACCCGCCCCCTTTAGTGCAAATACCCGCCCCCTTTAGTGCAAAGACCCGCCCCCTTTAGTGCAAAGACCCGTCCCCTTTAGTGCAAAGACCCGCCCCTTTAGTGCAAAGACTCGCATCCTGTAGTGCAAAGACTCGCATCCTGTAGTGCAAATACCCGCCCCCTTTAGTGCAAATACCCGCCCCCTTTAGTGCAAATACCCGCCCCCTTTAGTGCAAAGACCCGCCCCCTTTAGTGCAAAGACCTGCCCCCTTTAGTGCAAAGACCCGCCCCCTTTAGTGCAAAGACCCGTCCCCTTTAGTGCAAAGACTCGCATCCTGTAGTACAAAGACACGCCCCTTTAGTCCAAAGACCCGCTTCCTTTAGTGAAAAGACCCGCCCCCTTTAGTGCAAAGACCCGCCCCCTTTAGTGCAAAGACTCGCCTCATTTAGTGCAAAGACTCGCATCCTGTAGTGCAAAGACACGCCCCTTTAGTGCAAAGACCCGCCTCCTTTAGTGCGAAGACCCGCCCCTTTAATGCAAAGACCCACCCCCTTTAGTGCAAATGCACGCCCCCTTTAGAACAAAGACACGCCCCGTTTAGTGCAAAGACCCGCCCCCTTTAGTTGCTGTTGCCTCATGTTGTTTAAACCCCTCATGATTTCAGAGATATTTTGAATAATGTTCATGCTGCTCTTTTCCATACAATTATACTTTTAATACTTTTATGTCACCTTTCTGCCAAAATATACCATTTATGGCTTGTGTTTTGTGTGTTAAGTCAGGAATAAATTCATGTTTGCTAACACTTCACAGTAAGGTTGCAGCAGTTAACATGAACTAACATTGAAAAATACTTCCAAAACATGTATCAATCTTAGTTAAAGTTAATTTTTAACATTTACTAATGCTTTATTAAAATCAAAAGTTGAATCTGTTAATAGTATTTAATAGACGTGAGATAGACGTGAACAAACTATGAAGAGTCGTATGTTTTTTAAGAAACATTGTTATGCATTAACTAACAATAAGCAATACATTTGATAATTGAACGTTCGCAAAGACCCGCCCCCTTTAGTTACTGTTGCTATGTCCGACAAGCCACGCCCACTCTCACGCCACATCATGTGATGACACTGAGAACGCGCTGACAGACAGGACAGAGTTACAGAGTTACTTTTGTTATGAAACAAAGTCCAACTTTCAAATTGTGTCATTTTTTTTTAAAGAAATTGAATCAGTAACAACCGTTTTGTGGCTCTTTAATGTGTCTGACAGATCGCTCAGTTAAAGCCGCTCGTGAACCGATCATCTCTTCCTTCTAGTTCATTTATAGCATCAAATAAACATGAATGAACATCAGAAGGAATGTTGTTTCAACCGCGGAAAGGCGTCAGTACGCCGTTTCTCAAGTTCAAATCCACCGACGTTAATCTACTAACTCTCCTGACTGCATTCTCAGACAAAATGGCGGATTCGGTGGATGGCGGATTATGATTGGTCAGATCGCCTGTCAATCAAACTCCCTGCAAAGGGTGAATTTGATGAGATAAAACCGTACAAAATTGATGATCATGTGACCAGTATAAAGAAGAGGCTTTTGCTCCACCTTCTGCTTTGTAACTTTGCAAAAAAAAAAAAAAAAAAAGTGTAAATCATAGTAAATCGCACATCTTTATTTGGTTTATCAGTTTGTCTCGATTCAAACGAGCACACACACAACATAACATGACTAGATATCTATGGAAACTACACTGCAAAAAATGCTTCTCTTACTTAGTATTTTTGTATCGTTTCCAGTCCAAATATCTAAAATTTCTTACATCAAGATGCATTAACAAATAACAAATGTAGGCGGGGCTTGATTTTGTCCGTGGGGAATTGATTGGATGGTTGTGGTTTGCTATTGGCTGATGTCATGTGAGTGACAGGTTAAAGCCCCGCCCACGTCATCAGAGAAGAGAAGAGATGCTGCAAGAGGAAGGGGAAATAAGAACTGTCCATTTTGATTTCATGGTGATTTTAAAGTTAAAATGTGTGTTACCCGTTCGTTGATTTGCAGAACAGATCATTCTGTTAATGGAATCTGTCTGTAATGCCAATTCATAATCAGATTTCGCATGTTTGTGCGCTGCTGAATTGAGCCCGATACCCTTTTTGTCCTTTAAGGGGTCAGTTTCATATAGATTCGTAGCTGTCGAGTGTAATTGCTCTGATCCGCTGTCGTTTGGCTTTCATGGACAGTTTGTATTCAGAGGTTGGAATATTATAGCAGTTCTGGCTTAGTGGTTAAACTTGATGCTCTAATTATGGCATAGAGAAATATGATAGGAAGAAGGAATATGATGCTGGATTGTAAGAACAGAATAAAACCGAAATGCAGTGCAGCTTTTTCTTTTTTCTTCATATCTCACATAGTCAAGTTTTATTTTAGTATCATTGATATGCTATTATAGTTTTTGATATTATTTTGAGTTAGATTCAACGTTTTTTTTTTATGTTCTGTTTTCATTTTAATAAATTAGTATTCATAATTTTTGTGTGTTTTTGTCATTTTTACTAGTTTATTTTAAAACATGTCTATATTTTTTTTAGCTTTAGTTATTTTAGTACCATTTTTATGATGTCATATTTAAGTGAGTTACATTATTGAAACACGTTTGACCACATTTACCGTCTTTATCAGTATTTTATTTATTTTTACACTTTTACTGGTCACATCAAGCTCAAATAGTTCAAAAATCATTATCACAATTAGATTACTTTTAATAGAAAAAAATTAATTGTGCTTGAAGCAAAGTGCAATAATATTAACAAATAAATCATGTGGTTTGATGCAATGATGCTTGCTATCCCTTTTTGCACTGACCTTTAACCCCATATCACTGGAGATGCTTTAGGCAGAGACAGGTCTGAGGTCAGTGTCTCTGTGTGTCAGTGTTGCGTTTACTGTAGGGGTCAGAGACACGACGACAGGTCTGAGGTCAGTGCCTCTGTGTGTCAGTGTTGCGTTTACTGTAGGGGTCAGAGACACGACGACAGGTCTGAGGTCAGTGTCTCTGTGTGTCAGTGTTGCGTTTACTGTAGGGGTCAGAGACACGACGACAGGTCTGAGGTCAGTGCCTCTGTGTGTCAGTGTTGCGTTTACTGTAGGGGTCAGAGACACGACGACAGGTCTGAGGTCAGTGCCTCTGTGTGTCAGTGTTGCGTTTACTGTAGGGGTCAGAGACACGACGACAGGTCTGAGGTCAGTGCCTCTGTGTGTCAGTGTTGCGTTTACTGTAGGGGTCAGAGACACGACGACAGGTCTGAGGTCAGTGCCTCTGTGTGTCAGTGTTGCGTTTACTGTAGGGGTCAGAGACACGACGACAGGTCTGAGGTCAGTGCCTCTGTGTGTCAGTGTTGTGTTTACTGTAGGGGTCAGAGACACGACGACAGGTCTGAGGTCAGTGCCTCTGTGTGTCAGTGTTGTGTTTACTGTAGGGGTCAGAGACACGACGACAGGTCTGAGGTCAGTGCCTCTGTGTGTCAGTGTTGTGTTTACTGTAGGGGTCAGAGACACGACGACAGGTCTGAGGTCAGTGTCTCTGTGTGTCAGTGTTGCGTTTACCGTAGGGGTCAGAGACACGACGACAGGTCTGAGGTCAGTGCCTCTGTGTGTCAGTGTTGCGTTTACCGTAGGGGTCAGAGACACGACGACAGGTCTGAGGTCAGTGCCTCTGTGTGTCAGTGTTGCGTTTACTGTAGGGGTCAGAGACACGACGACAGGTCTGAGGTCAGTGCCTCTGTGTGTCAGTGTTGCGTTTACTGTAGGGGTCAGAGACACGACGACAGGTCTGAGGTCAGTGCCTCTGTGTGTCAGTGTTGCGTTTACTGTAGGGGTCAGAGACACGACGACAGGTCTGAGGTCAGTGCCTCTGTGTGTCAGTGTTGCGTTTACCGTAGGGGTCAGAGACACGACGACAGGTCTGAGGTCAGTGCCTCTGTGTGTCAGTGTTGCGTTTACTGTAGGGGTCAGAGACACGACGACAGGTCTGAGGTCAGTGCCTCTGTGTGTCAGTGTTGCGTTTACTGTAGGGGTCAGAGACACGACGACAGGTCTGAGGTCAGTGCCTCTGTGTGTCAGTGTTGCGTTTACTGTAGGGGTCAGAGACACGACGACAGGTCTGAGGTCAGTGCCTCTGTGTGTCAGTGTTGCGTTTACTGTAGGGGTCAGAGACACGACGACAGGTCTGAGGTCAGTGCCTCTGTGTGTCAGTGTTGCGTTTACTGTAGGGGTCAGAGACACGACGACAGGTCTGAGGTCAGTGTCTCTGTGTGTCAGTGTTGCGTTTACTGTAGGGGTCAGAGACACGACGACAGGTCTGAGGTCAGTGTCTCTGTGTGTCAGTGTTGCGTTTACTGTAGGGGTCAGAGACACGACGACAGGTCTGAGGTCAGTGCCTCTGTGTGTCAGTGTTGCGTTTACTGTAGGGGTCAGAGACACGACGACAGGTCTGAGGTCAGTGCC